GCTCCTGCGGCTTATCTTTTGCTGCACGTGCAGGTCCCTCGGGAGTTCCAAACCTATTGATGTCGAACTTGCCATTTTTAGCTGGCGAAATGAGCACAGCATCACGGGATGCCATCGAAGGATTTTCGTCGAAGAAGTTGTACGGTCGGAGGTAGAAGCTGGCAGAGTTAGCGGCCGTCGCAGTGTTCGGTATATCTTTGGAATGAGGCACATGCATAAGACCTGTAGTCACCCAGGCAATTAGATCTTCGTCTACGATCGGTTCGTTGTCGGAAACGAAGCGTCGGAAGTCGACAACAGGGTCGTACATACTGTACTGATTGTAAAATGATGAGCTTGTTTCTTCGGTTTCTTTTCGCTTAGTCACAATCATATGGTTCAGGCTCCAAGCAGCTCCATTTACTAATCCCCAGTCCTTTGGGTACAACTGTTTCATCATGTTCCGGATGTCGATACGGTACCCTCGATTCACGCCCATGTTGTTAACGTTCCCTTCGCTAAAGAAGTTTAGATACTTAGGCTGGTCAAAACCGAACCGATAAATAGCTTCTTATTCAATTTTTTTTCAAAGTGCGATTCAGGAATTTTTGGATTCTTCGCGCCCCTGGTATCCAAGGATTTATAATATTCTCAATATTAAAGTTAACATTTTTCAAAAGAGTTTTTTCTTTCACCGACATCCAAATCCACTTTGTAGTGAAACATATGGTCGTGAATCGTCCCTGCGAGGCCTTTATGTATCTTTGTGCCATAGGGGCTCTCGTGAGATGTCCAAAAAATGGCTTGAACGTAACCGCTAGTGGAAACGTGGGCTTGTATAACCCCATTTGGATAGAACAAATAGTCGTTAATGTAGTCGTACTTAAATGTAGTTGAAATTGTTCGCAGAACCAGAACGTTTCCCGGCATTCCACCATAAAAATTAAAATCCCCCCTGAAACCTAACCGGGTCATTGCTGTTAACGAAATGAATAGCGTCCATGAAAGTGGCCGTGATTGGGCAATCAATGTCCGGGACGAGCTCAGACTTGCTGCTTCCCATGCCAAACGCGGTATCGAGGTAGTTCAAAGACATTTGCTTCCTTGCAGCTTCCTGCAAACTGAGTTCGTACACAATCCTTTGCCCATCGAAGCTTATATCAAACAGTTGTACGCCGGTAGAACTGCGCAGGCGAAAAGCAAAACTCCAGTTCATGTATTCTACATGATGTCCGCTGACCGTGTATCTCTTCCCATCTGGCTCAACCAATTGAGGGGGGCGTAAAGGCTTTGAGGGATGCGAGCCCCCGCGGCGCAGATACGACGAAAAAAGGAGCTTTTCAGGAGAGTATGAAGGCGCGGGAATGAAAACCTTATACACAGAGCCATTTCTGTAAGCTACCATTAATTCTTCTACACTGTCAAATGAAGAATTAAGATAAACCACTTTTTCGACTTTCCATCTCGACACGTCACTTCCTCTAGTATCAACATATAAACTAAGGCCAACAGGATGTAAATAATTTCCTGGGAGATCGCGCTTGAAAAAGAACCATTTCTTGCGCAAACCAAATTCACCCAGGCTGCTATAATCCCAGGTCAAACAGCGATCCGTACAATTGTCGTAGGTATACCCATCAAAGCTTTCGTAGAACAAATCCCGTAGCTGCTCTGACATTTTTAAAATGAAACTCTCCGTTGCGTCGAGTTCTTTCGAGTCCTCCGAGCGTGCTTCATAGGGTATTGGATATTTGTGCCCAGGTCCTGTGGTTTTCTCGTAACGGGAAGGCTTGGCAGCGGGGGAAACCAAATATTCTCTGACTTCGGGGCTTAGTTTTCCTCCGAAAAAGACAACAGCACGAGCAACCCGTTCTGGTTTAGGGCCATTGTTGTCAAGGAATTTAATAGCCTCGTCTTTGCTTGGTTGCTGTAACTCGATCAAGTAGATGTGATTGTCGTTGATGTTTGCATCTTTGAAGGGAGTTATATTCAGAGACGTTTGGCTGAGTATAAAATCCCTCAGAAATAATTTCCTTTTCAGAGAGATCGTCGTAAAGACCAGAAGAGCGTGCAGTGGAAACTGTCAACTCCGTATTTTCTGGACAAAATTTGAGGCCACGATCGTTTGAACTGTCTTTGGCTCGCTTCGACGTTAATACCACAATTAGCGTAATAATAGGTGCCACACATAAGTGACGGAGAGAATCACAAAAAGAATCTTCAATGTGGTGACTTGTCGAGTAGAATTGGCTAAGCGACTGTAAGAATCAGCCATGTTTCATTTGTAGCAATATTCGCAGACATGCACCAACAGAACAATGTATACAGCAAATTATAGTTTGAAAACATTTAGCTCTGACTCCCAGGAGATCAATGGAATACGATAGAGCCCCATTAACTCGAGGTCTTGATGAGAAACAATTAGGGAAGTTTAGTTTGGGAATTTTAGACTTGCAGACTCAATCGTCAAATAAAATACCATTTTTCTAGAAGCCATAGCAGAGAGTAGAGATGACGACGC